AGCCCATTTGTTTCATTCATCCCTTTGGGAGCTGTGTTCACTTTCACCCACTTCACAAGTTCTAGTCCTGCATCTCCTACTGGATCCTCAAATTCAATGTGGCTAAAACCAAACTCCACTTTCTCCCCAAGTGTCCTCCACACTTCCCACATGTGACAGCAGCAACAGCAGGTCCCCAGTCTCCCAGGGTGGAAACTTCAGCATTACCTTCACCTTCGTCATCTCCTTGACCCTCAGAGCTTATCATTTCCACAGAGTCCCAGTGTTTCCTCGTGCGTGGTGGCTGCTCTCTGTCCCTCCCCATTCCCACTACCTGCCCCCATTCATGCCTCTGAGCCACTGAAATCAGGTCCAGTTGCTCTGCCACAGCCTCTTCTCTAACTAGTCCTGCACCAGGCTGTCCCCAGATAAATCCTATTTAAATACTCTTATCATGTTGGTCCCCTGCTCGAAAACCCTCCTCATGCCCAGAGGGATGACCTCAAGTCTGGTGACGGGGTACTTCCTCCTCACTTACCCCCCTTCCCATACTTGTAGCACCAGAAAATCTGTCACTTTTTCTTTTTTCTTGGCAGCCGGCCAGTACAGGGATCGAACTCCAGACCTCGGTGTTATCAGCACCACGTTCTAACCAACTGAGCTAACTGGCCACCCCAAATCTGGACTGTTTGACATCCCTGTGTAGTCCTTAGAATTTCTGCCATCTTCCTTTGAATGTAGCAGCTAAAGTTGGAGGGAGGACTGTGAGGGTGACAGAAGAGGCATGCTCCCACTCAATCCACACGTGAAGAGGCAGCCCGGGCTGCCCCTTCCACATACAGGCCTCCCCTCAACCCTCCTCCTTGTCCAGCCTGCCTTGGCTGTTTGTTTTGATCAGGGTTTACCTGGATACAATGTCAAGCATCAGTTACAGCGTGTGGTTGCTCAGGCCAAACACATCCTGGGGTAGGTAAACCTCAGCCTCCACTGGAGACGACTCCCCGAAGTCTCCTTAATGAGAACAAGAAATAGACCAGGGACCGCATAGGCACACAGGGCAGCAACACAGTAATTCCCAGGAGGAAGAAGCTGGTTCCCTTTCCTCCTTGTTTCCTAAAGTCCCTTTTCATCCAACAGATAAGCTACTTTAACCTTGGCAGTTTTTAAAAGAAAAGTCTGCTGCTAATGGGAGCCAGCCCAGCTGGGAAGCGTTTAATGGATGCCTACAGCGGCACCATCTAAAAACAAAACAGGCAGCTCCTGCGAGAGCAATGAGACCAACTGTTCCTCTTCTCCTCTAAGAGGAAAGAAGGGCGAAAGTATGAAAAATCGGGTCATGGAATATTCGGTTCACATGGCAGCAAAACATTAATCTGAACACTTCTGAGAGCACAGCACATTGGAGAGGCAAACGACCCCCTCCTCCGTAATGAGTTCTGAAAGCATGGCGAGCAAAGCTGCAACAGGGCAGACACCGAGCTGCAAGTCCAGGACCCTCACACAGCTTCTAGAAGGGTCTGGAGACAACTTAAATTGAAGAAGATGTAGATTTGTCCCAAAGCTTTTCTGAGTAAGGCCTATGTTAATAAGTAGGGCCGAACGGTTAGGATTTACAGGTCAGAAAAGAAAAGGGATCTAAAAGAATAAAAACCAAACTTATCTCTGGGAATGCAGGATTAGGGGGTTCTTCCATTTTCTACTTAATAGATATTCCCATGATGGTGGGGGGATGTGGAATTTTGGATGTAACCTTATTGTAATTTGCTCTAAACAGTAAGAAGTTAATATTGGAGTATTAGTTGGTCAAATTTTATGTTAGGATTCCAAACATCCTGTGTGTCTCTGTAGGTCCTGAGGTGCTATAAGCCCAGCTGTCCTTCGAGGTTCGTTGCCATACACACATCTGTGAAACACTTAGCAATAAGATTTGTATTTCTAAATCCTCTCTGTGAATCTCTGACCTCAATGACTTGTGCATATCTCAGTCATAATTCCCTATGCACGTTTACGTCCCCAAGATTCTTTCTTCATCTGTAAAATGGGAATCCGAATAACATTATTGAAGAGGTGTGAAAACTAATTGAGACAATGTTTCTGCAAGGGGAAATCGGTCTATTATAAGGCCCAGCCACAGTAAAGGTCTTAATGTGTGTTCCCAGCTCGCTCTCTCTCCTCCTTTTCTCCTCTCTGTCACTCCTCACAATGCTCTGAGGGGCACATTGGACATGAAGAAAAAGCAGGAAAGAGTAGGACAGCATATTCCAGAGGCCTGTCTTTCTTCTTAAAAAAACCACTCATATAATAATCTATTTTTCTACATTTTAAAAAAACAACTGTTTCTTTTGAGTTATGAATAAATGTTTCATTTTTGTTTTCTACATTTAAAAAAAAAAAAGAAAATCTATCAGAAAGTTATATGCCTAAAAAATTCATTACCCCTGTTCTGAATATACAAGAACTTCATACAACTAAAATATTCTCCAAATCATCTAAGAGATCACCACTTAACAGTGTATTAGATGCAAAAACTTCACATTTTTCCCATGGGTGTAAAGTTTAAACATTCAAATTTGCAAAAGAGAATAAAGACTTGGAATAAAGACATTCACAGCAAGCTATTTCATATCCATTAGTTATCATTTACACATCAAATACATAGAGCATTAAGACCAAATATACAGAATTTCCACATTTATGTACAGTAATCAACATAGTGCACAATTCAAATCTATCTTACAACCAAGTGTACAAGTTTAAATATGGCTTTATAAACTACTAACAATAACTGTGCTAAAGTAACTCAAAGGTCCAGAAATAAACACTGGAATGCCACCTCTGCACTGGGACCCTCATTCAACAAGATGCTATTCATTGTGTTTGCAAAACAGATGGTGCAGGTAATGTTTCCAGGCGGTGTCCATCCACCACCCCCAAGGAGCTGAAATGTGGATTCAAATTATGCCAACATTGGCCCTTCCTATGTCAGATATCTGGAAATAAATCTGTACATCTTCCGCAGATTTGGAGACAATATTATAAACAAATAAAAGAAGGACATGTAATGAGTGAGATGATGATTACCAGGTATTATCAAAACATGCTTTTGAGTTTGGCGTTGAAATTCTCAGGCGATACATCCTGCGTTTGCACTTAGGTCCCCCTCCCCCCTTCCTTTTCTTGTTTTGCTTATATCCGTGTACCATGAAATCTTTCAGGAATTTTCAAGGCATTCTAGATCAAGTGGTACCAATACCAGACTTAAAAAGACCTCTTATAAAGGTGACATCTAATTGTTCACCCTTCTCCTAACCCAAAATGCCTATTTTAAGTAAAAATAAATAATTAAATACTTTGACTTAAAATCATGCATCCATGCCTATTTTATAACCGCTTTGCCACAAATGTTACACATTCTCTAATCAATTACAACCTTCTAGGTGCTACCCCTAAATACCTCTTGCCCCATTCTTTAAATGCTATTGAGTACCAGCGAATATACTTTTTAAATTTCTATGTTTGCTATGGTATTCAATCTATAATGGTATTCAATATCAGTACAACAGTATATACATACACAGCAGTGCATACGTATATACATGCGTATATATCATAAATAAATACACTGAGGGGTAAGCTGAGAAAGTTTTCCTGGTTGGGTGAATAAGCACAAAGGTTTGGAGACCACCACCTAAATAGGAATGATCTGGGGCATCTCCAAAAATTTCAAGGACTTCTCTAAAACAAAGTGTATATTACTCTGTACATTTTATATTTATAAAATGGAAAATATATGCCAGAAACACTTTTGAGAGACCAGAAGGAAGTTCCAAACTCAAAGGAGTAAACAGTTGGGGCTGGTCAATCTGAGCTGCTCTCCAAGTTCCTAGCTTTGGGTGGGTCCATCAGGGCACAAGCATAGAAATGAAGATGGAGATAAATATGACCTCAATGCTTCCTAACCCAGCCACCTGTACATCCATAGGCAATCCTTCCCTAAATAGATTGCAGTTGTTTTACACACCTGTACTTTTTATCATTTTAGTAAGATGCCACCACCCAGGCACAACTTTCAATGTGCCTGACATCTCTAACGAGTCATACCACATGGTTGCTTGAAGCTCTGGTATTTGTTACTGTTTCCTTCTCTCTTTCCACTCAGTGAAATTCTAATACCACCAAATGAAGGCATCAGACCCTCATTTTCCCAACCATCCTCCCAGAGAAACCGTCGCCCTCATTGACATTGAGTTGTCAGGCATTTGGCCTAATGCAGGTCACTGGGAAAAAAAACATATGTTTACAATCAGAATGATCTGATCCCACAAGTCTTCTTACTTGAAGTAAAATCATTTTGACAGGAGTAACAAACATGTCACTTCTACCAAAGCAGAGATCCTTTGAAAATCTGACCATTGCTTTTAATCTTATTGATGCAAAAAAGTCTCAGATATAATTCATAAAAGGTAAAAAAAAAAAAAAAAAAAAAAAGATTCAAACATGGTTTGTGTTTTAATAAGGCAAGTGTGATCTCTTCTTGGGGGGATAGAAGCAAATATGAAACAATACTTCTAATTGTGAATAACTATTAAAGTGTAAAGTCCATAGATTATTTTTTTAAAGAGGAAGGAGATAGCAAATACGCAGAGCACTCTCCTTTGCTAGCCCTCCAATGAACAATTATATTATGAGCCCTCTGCTATTTAGCCACCACTAATTAACATGGCAATTCAGGAGCTGGGTCCTACTTTTTAAAAAGCTATGGGGTAATTCATTTAAGGTACTAAAGAAGGAAAGAGGTTTAAATATTACTAATAATTGAAAGTTACTCTATTCCATAGCCACAAAGTTAAAAAAAAAATGCGTGCAGGGGGTAAATTAGTCACACTTAGTAACACTACTTTTATGAAATTAACTGATTATAATAAATATATATTGTTCTACAGTTAGTGGATTGTTTCAAAATATTTAAAGCTGTAATGAGGAACAACAGTGATTTTTAAAAATGCAAGGCAGCCATCAAGCTCATTCTGAAAGTATTTAATTGTGTACAGAACACAATCTTTTACTCTAGATAACTAGTTTCCCCACTGAAATGATCAGGAGTTTGGTGCTGGCTAGACTATGTCCATAAGTTAGTCATTTTATTATTGCAAACTTTATCCACAAATTTGACAATTTGGGGCAACAGTCCTCATGAAATTTGGGCATGCTGGTTTGTCATGGTCTAGCCAGCAGCAGCAGTTTTGGAGAACCTAGTTCTAGCGCCAAGTTCCCTGCTTTGGCAAGAGCCAGAATAGCTGAGGTCACGCTGTCATCTCCAAAACAGGAGAGTCCCTTCCCGTTAGCTGTTTTTCTGTAACCCCTACAACCATCTCTACGGCGCAAGGCCAATATGTTCCTGGTCCCAGCAATCTTATCATAAAGATTAAGGAAACTTAAATATCTTTAAAATATTCTTGAAAGTCAGAAATCTAAGTTCCTGATAAGAAATTCAAATCTACACCTGACACTAGCAAGAATCCTACAGGCGAGAGGCGCCTCCCTCTCCACCCACCAAGGGGATCCTTCCGAACTTTGCAAGTTTCATCAACCACTGGAAGCAACTGAATAAAGGTAAAGCACTTCATGATCACACACGATGATCTCTGGACCTGTTAAAGATGGGTTGCCAGGGCTCAGCATTTAGAATCAGAAGTATCTGTCATTGAATGGACTTTCATCAGTTCTGCACGTAAAGGAGAACAAAGGATCCTGAGTCACGGTCAGGAACAATAAAAATAACTTCACCGTAAAAAAAAGGAAGGGAAGAATAACCTGAGTCGTTCCCTACCAACAAAAGTCACCGTCCTTTTATTGAAAATACGCTCAACGATTGTTCTGTGAATGAATATAGGAAAACTTGATTGTGCATAATTTTTACTTGCAAGGAAAAATCCAGCCTCTTTTCTCCTACCCTAAGCCCCAGGCTGGTTGGCCTACCCATGCAGAAGTGGTGGGTTTCAGGGCTGACATGAGGCTCACTTGGCCCTGAACTCATTTTGATAAATCAACTTTTGGGTGATTAAAACATAAATAACAACAAAAACCCTGTCACTTTCAAAATTCCAAACCTGTCAAAACAAAGATATTTTTCTCAAAAGATGTAAGACAGCTTTTCTTTCTTCCTTTTCTGTCACTCAACACATACTCAACATGGATGACCAGAGACTGCTTTTGCTTGCATATTCCATACCAAGCTTTCTCCTCTCTGGATGTCAAAGATAAGAACAAACACTAACAACAGTAACATTTGAAGACTCTCTAGAGTCTTCACCTGGGGTCCGTGAACTCCCCAAGGAATCCATAGATAATTTCAGGAGGTCTCTAAATCACCTGAATTTATATATAAAATTTCATATATTTGCATATATATGTATTTTTCTAGGAATAGGGTATAGGACTTTCATTTGATTATAGCGTGTGGCCCACTTTCTGAGCATACCTTTCCCATGCAGCCTTCGGGAAAGGAAATGATGAGTGCTTTGGTTCTAGAGGAAGAGGAGATTATACAATCTGGGAAGTCTTCAGGCAGAAATGAGGAAGTTGGGCTTTGAGAGATGGGTATGATTTGGGCCAGTGGAGAGGAAGGTAGGGCATTTCAGGAGCAGGACTGGCATGAGCAGAGGTACAGAGGTGGGGCACATCAGGCATGTTTAGGCAATAACAAGCAGATGGCTGCACTGGATGGCTCATGTGGAAGAGCGGAGGAGACAAGGTAAATAAAGAAGTGAGAACACAAGGCCTTAAGGAATTCTCCTTCTGAGGCAATACGGCACCCTATCAGGGCCAGAGAGCTTTTTAGAAAATTAATCCAGGGGTGATGGGTGGGATGGATCAGGGAAGTGGCCAAGCATGTGAAAGAGGCTATCACAGAAGCCTAGGAAAAAGAGGATGCCCTGAATCAGTGTCACGTCTATTCTGTTCGCCACTGCACACCCAGTGTGGATCCGTGGCCAGGCAGGAGGCAGGGGCTCAGTAAATACTCAGTGAGTAAATGGGCATGGATGCTTTAAAAGATAAATAAGAATGAGGAGTTCTGGTGATTTGGAAATCCATCTTGCTGTTATTCACAGAGCTTAGCAATGCCATGCACAGAGCAGATACCAAAAAAAGGTCTCTTGAATTGGCTGGGACCAGGCTGACTAGACGTGGGACAAGAGTAAAGCAGCACTCTTGTCCCAAGATGAGAAACCCATGCTCCCAAGCACACTGAGAGGTGGGGGATGTGGTGGTTTGTGAACATGGGATAACTTCTCAGGGAGCATGGGTTTCATAAGGAAACCAAACCAAGATGGTGTAATGAAAACAACCATTCAGAGCAAGGTGAAAGACCTCTGTTTTGGGTCCTTCAAATAAGTACATATGTGACACTGAGCCAATAACAACTGCAGGGGCTCTCTTGTAAGGGGCTTTCTAGAGCTAATCCTTGGCCCAGCTACACATTTCTATGATTCAACATTTTCTCTCAAACTAATCTAGGCAAGACCCATGAGGCTAAAATCCTTAGCACATCTTTTCCTTGAACCCCAGCTTTCACAAAAACATATTCTAATATCTCAGTATACACAGGCAGGGCTCACTTGAGGACTAGACTGCAGCAGTGATTCAAGTCCAAGTTGTTCTAGGTCTGTGATCAGTCTTCTGGGTAGCCTTACTAGTGCTACTTTTCACAATTATGTAGCAACAACAAAATGGTGAACTATGACAATATTGTTTATCTCTGCATAAATTTATATTGTCCCTATATCTATTCTGATGGACAGCAAAGCACATTGCTGCTGCTAATTACTCCTGATGAGTGGGGGTGAATACAGGGGCCAAGGGAGGTAGATACAGCAGCAGAAATTACTTTTACAATGAGAGGTAAAAAAAGAACACGGGGCCCATGTGTCTTCTGTCCAACCAAAAGAAACTAACACTAATGATCACACTTCCTTACGTTACTTCCCAGTAAAAAAAGAAACACAGAACGTGAACAAGTGAGCCAGATGAACAAAACGCCCCTTAATATCTTGTTTTTTCTTATAAGTAGCACCTCTTCATCAAACTGGAGAACACTTAAAATCTGGGTAGCTTAGGAACAAAGTATATAAAATTAAAGCCCTTCCAATGAAGATCCTTACCATGGTGATTTTGTCCTGGTCATTTTTTTGTTTCCATAACCCATGCTGGTAAAGTAAAGCTGGGGTTCCAAACTAAGTTTACACCTACAAAATCTTAAGTGTCCAGTCATAAGCTGTCATGCAAGTACCTAAGACTCCAGGTGGCAATGTCCATTCATGCCCCTGTGGAAGGTCCTTGGATGGAACGAATTGTTTAACGACTTTACTTGGAAAATTGGCTGTCCACATACTTGCCCTCCAAGTAATGCAAAATAAAAAACATAAATCTACATACTCAAAACTTAATAATTCTTGGAGTGAATATTTACATCATACTTGGTGCTATACAGTAAGAATAAATGTCTGTAGGCAAAATTTCAAAGACATTTCTTTTTAGCTGAGGGTGGGGAAAGGGCAACTGAGTCTTCGTGTTGACAGGTCTATAGTCCACCTGTTCATCATATTCACATGTTCAGTCCAGGAGTTTCCCTAGTCACACAGAACTGCCACCAGCTGGCCTTAGAAGACACTCGCTTAAGAGAGGAGGCAAACTGTCCTTTCTCATGACGTTGGAGACTCACAACAGGCTTATCCATTCATACCTTCTCCACCACATTCTCATTAGGCATCAAACAATCCCCTCAAGTATGAATGGTTTTAATAAGATATTAACTAAGCGCCTGTGCAATAAGAACTTCTAACAGGGTATCTCAGCATTTATTCCCAGTTACACAAGCCTGATACAGTTGCTTAAGCAGTAAACAGCCTCAAAAATGCTCCCCCTTTTACCTCTTTGTGAATCCACGGCAGCCTTTTAAGATTGTTTCACAAAAGGTATATTCAAAGAAAGTTTTTTTCCAAGTAGAGTACACGAATTTCTCAGAAGTGGCTGTCTTTTAAGAAGTGCCTCTTTAACCCCACAATGAGCAATCCTCATCCAGTCAGAAGCAAAGCAGGCTTTTTTGCAGCTGTAAATCTTAACACCGGCTCTCCTCCTAGCCTAAAGCCACAGCCATCACCCAGGATCTTTGCCCCATATTTCCCTGCAAAACATTCTAAGTCAACAGAAACTATGCCTTTGGAGACAGAGTACCTTCGCAAGTATGGGTAACCCCAAAGGTTCATGTGCCCCATGAGAAGGGAGAGGGAAGACGGGAGGGACAGGAGATCGTTAAGAAACATTAAGGTCTGATCTCAGTGTTGCCCTCCTCACGGGCAATGGCTGAAAATACCAAAAAAGCCACATTAATAAAACTGCACATAGTCTACCACCACAAAGAGTGCTCTGATACAGGTAACATGATCCTCTTCCGACTCCATCTTTTCAATACATCTTTGCAAGGTTTGTTTTCAAAAAGGCATTACAAGGTGGCAAGCGTCTGCTTACAAAAATCAATTAAATACTTCCACCTTATCTCTATTAAACCCACCATATTCCTGAGCTTTATTGTCTCCAAAGAAATCAAACATAGGTAACTTAACACTCTGGAGTCAACAAAGAACAACATTCCAGTTTGAGTTCAGGCAATGAAAGAAACACTTTTCTGCAAATACACAATAGAATTAAAGACCATTTGCAGCTGTTGACGATTTGTAAAAATATTTCCAAGGTTCTTTCAACAAAAGATTTTGATTCAAGCAAGATCACAAAGGGGAATGATGACAAAGTCCTAACTGTGCCTTTGTGTGTGTTTCACCTGCTCATCTTTTGCAAGTGACTGTGGTTGTTGTTCCTAGATATGGAATTCCTTTGTTCTCAAATCTTCACACACATGTAGCACAATAAAGAATAAAATGTGGTTATGTTGCACCACTTCCGAGAGGTTTAAAGCGCCATACAAATGTTACCACATGAATCCCCACAACACCCCTGTGAGGTAGGTAGGTGGAGAATATTGTCATCCCCACTTTACAGGTGGGAGAAATGAGGCACACAATAGTTAAGGGACTTGCCCCAAATCACATAGCTAGTCACTGGCAGGTCTTAGAATAAAACTTATACTGATTAGCACCTAGCACAGTGCTTTGCACATAGTAGGTGTTCATTGGATATCTATAGATTTTATTTGATTTATGTCTCAACATACAATATACACATATAAAGTACAAGCAGCCCCCACAGAACACTTATCTCCTACATTTTCTCTGATATCTGTCATGACTTCACACCCAGGTGGACGAAGGATATTCAAGAATCCATCTTGCAACTAAGTCCTCAGGTTGAAGAGAATCAACATAAACACTACCAGTTGATGATGCACTCTTTCACCTGCTCTACCATAAACTATTAGTTTTCTAATGAAAACAAAAGTGGATTTCAGGAACCATGCTGACATTTTTTTTTTTTTTTTGCCTGTTTGTTTTAAATGGAGCCATCTTAATGGTTCTGTGTTTCGTTTGTACAAAAAAGAAATAAGGCGGCTATAGTCCAGTTAGCATGTGAAAACTGTGCCAAGCACGAAGATCTCCTCCCAGCTCAGATGGACTTCTACCTGGGAAACCGGACTGACCCCAGAGAGTGGCAGCTCCGAAGGAAAAGGGTCGACGAGGCTGGGTGTCACTTGCACTGTTCGTGGTCTGTGTAGTCGTCCATGTCCACATCTGAATCAAAGAGCGAGTGTCCGGTGAAGTCCGTGTCTGGGGTTCTGGAAAAACTGTTCTCCGCTCCCTCATCTTCAAAGGTCTCTGTCCTTGAGTAAAAGCTAAAATCCAGCAGTGGGGTGTGGGTTTTGCTGCCTTCACTGCTCTCCTCAGACTCGTAGATGGTGTTGTCGTCGTCATGGTGCCACTCGGGCCAGAATTTCCTCCTTATTCTCTCACAGTACATGGCGAGGTTGATCAGCTCACCTGCAGTGTGGTAAGGAAAGCGAGGGTTAGTTCTCAAAGGCAACGATCGGCCAGTGCAATGGTATGAATGCCTGTGTCCCTCCAAAATTTGTACGCTGAAATCCTCACCCTCAAGGTGATGGTATTAGGAGGTGGGGCGTTTGTGAGGTGATTAGGTCATGAGGGCAGAGCCCTCATTAATGGGATCAGTGCCCTTGTAAAAGAGGCTCCAGGGAGCTGCCTTGCCCCTTCCCCCATGTGAGGACACAGCAAGAAGTTACCATCTGTGAAGCAGGAAGCTGGCCCTGACCACACACACTGCATCTGCCAGTGCCTTGATCCTGGTCTTCGCAGCCTTCAAAACTGTGAGAAATAAATTTCTCTCGTTTATAAGCCACCTACTTTATGGTGTTTTGTTATAGCAGCCCAAACTGTAAGGATAACGTAAGGATACTGTAGGCACTCGAATGTAAGGATACCGTAGGCACTCAAGCGGAGGGGGAAAAGCATTCCCTAGCAATATGGCGCCCTTCCGGGTTCTTCTCCGCAGTAAACAAGCCCGTTGGCGCCAACACCCAAGCCCACCCACGCCAAACCTCAGCCAGTCACAAGTCAAGGCTCATCTCTTGCCCAGCCCCGTCCAATCAACTACCGCCCCGTCCACCCCCTATCCAAACCCGGAATGCAGCTCCCTATAAATGTACGTGCAGGTCATATTTAAGTTAATTTATATTCCATGAAAATATACCAACTGTTGGTTGTATTAAGTCAGCCAGAAGTAATCATTCATTCCACAAATTTTTGTAGTGTTATTACAGGCTGAGGGGTCCTGTCGTCCTTTCACAAACGAACTAAGACATGCAGCCACTGGGCTTTCTGGGAAATTTGGAAGAATGGGTTGAGGTAGACATTAACAGTGTTTTTCCACAGAGATACTCAAAATATTTAGATTTTTTTTTTTTTTGTACATAATAAGAGAGTTGAGTGAGAAAAGTTAAATTCAGTGAGTGGGTTGAATGAAATGAGTCCTGTGGTGACAAAAATGGAGGGGCAGTTTATCCAAAATGGCAGATAAACTACCCTCATATGGCTTTTGGAACATTTTATTATTTTACATTTGAATATCAAGAGAACAATGCTATGACTGGCTCATATTTAAGTTAATTTATATTCCATGAAAATATACCAACTGTTGGTTGCATTAAGTCAGCCAGAAGTAATCATTCATTCCACAAATTTTTGTAGTGTTATTACAGGCTGAGTATTATGCCAAGTTGTTGAAAAAAGTTGTTAGCATGAAAACTTTGCCCTAAATAATCCATAAAATGTATAACTCAGAATTGTCTTTATGGATAAGTTTGCCTACAAACACATTTAGTAAAACAGATACTTTGTAATCTTATAAATAAAATTTAGCCAGCCACATCCATGACTGGGTCCCAACTCAGTCACTGAAATATTTCTTTTTCATGTGAATCAAAGGAACAATTTGTTAAGTCTCTAACATTGTTTAGGCATTTGTCTGAAACATGTCACAGTATCTGGCCTTCATTTCCTAATTCCAAATGAAAAACAAAGAAAGAAGGTGAGTTTTTGCCTTTGATCCACCAGATGGCAACATTGCTTATAAATACATAATTTATCACTATCTCTTATAGAACATTATTATCCTAAGAATATTTTTGGCTATTTTTTTTTTTTCGTTTTTGTCTTTTTTTTTTTACTGACCGGTAATGGGATCGCAACCCTCGGTGTTGCGCCCGCACCGCGCTCAGCCAGTGAGTGGGAACCGGTCTCCACATGGGATCCTAACCCTCGGCGGGAGCGCCTCCGCACTCCCAAGTGGCGCACCCTCCAGTGCGCCACCGGGCCGGCCCGATATTTATTTTTTTAAAGTTATATATACATTCACTTACTATGCAGGTAATACATGTTTTATTGCAGAAAATTAGAAAATACAGATAAGCAAACATTAAAAATTTACCAATAATCTCATTCTCCACAATAACATTTTCACTTATATTCAAATATATATTTATATTTGCTATATATAATTTACTGTCTATTCCATTTCCTATCCTCTGTTTCCCACTTAACAACAAATAATGAAAATCTTTGAATTTCATGCTATAGCCAGCATGATAATTGCATAGTCTTTCATTATATGGATGAATCATAGTTTCATTGCTTTTTAACCAATTCCCTATCATAAGTCATTTAGGTTCTTTCTATATTAATAGCTCTCCTGATAGTTATTGTGTATAACTTCTCTATTCTATTTTTCTATTAAAGTAAATAATATTCTAATTTTGGAAAATTAGGAGTCTATATATAGAAACTGTATAAATACATAAAGAAGAAAAGAAAAAGCACTTATGATCTCATGAACCCAAGATAAACCCAATTAACATTTTGGTGTAATTTCTTTCAGTATTTTTTTCTATCTATTTATTGCCATTATTATTACCTATTATCTCCTGTAATATTATTGTAAACATTTTCCCACATCATTAAAATTTTCCAAAACTGGTTAGCTGTTTTGCTTAAATGAACACATCCTCTACAAAACATAAAGCAATTCCCCGTTTCATGGATCCTGTAAACCAGTGGACCTGTATCAGTTCCAGGCCACCATTTTCAGTCTTCTCAGATCGTAACAGCTCGACTCACATTACGGAAGAGTCCATTCTGACTGCCTTCTGCTAGAAAGTATTTATGCACATGCTCAGGAGCCAGAAGTTGAGAAGTCAACATCACTGCCCCTTCTGAAGAGATTCATACAAAACCTCCCCTTATTCTCTCCCTCACGGAAACAGCCATGAAACACCTAACCATGTACTGCTGCCAATCACAGGTAACCAAGAACTGGACAAAGAAGCCGAGGCAGCAGCAAGGGAAGGAGAAGGATCTGACGGAGGAGGTAAAGAGACATCAAAGGTGAATGACAGTCACTTCACTGTAGGCCCTGGGCACAGCCATGTTTTGACTCAATCAAATCCATTCCCTATGAGCTGCTCCCCAGGAACAGCTAGAAAACCAGGATCTATCAAAGACCCACAGGATCTAGGACTCTATCCACTTCTTTTGTGCTTTCCTTTCTACAGCCTTGTTTCACCTTTCTTCCAGTAGAATCAAATCCATTCCCTATGAGCTGCTCCCCAGGAACAGCTAGAAAACCAGGATCTATCAAAGACCCACAGGATCTAGCACTCTATCCACTTCTTTTGTGCTTTCCTTTCTACAGCCTTGTTTCACCTTTCTTCCAGTAGAGCCACCCCCTTTGTGACAGTGTGACATTAATATCACTCAGTGTACCATAATAAGAATCAATAATCATAACAGCAAGCACTTGTCTCGTCCCTACTGTGTACCAGGCAGCGTTTGAAGTGCCTTACTCATGTGTTGGATTCATGTTAACTCCCGTAGTCCTCATGCCCTTCACCATGACTCTACACTGCGTCTCTACTAAGGAGTTGACAGTCTGGCCTGGGAACTACCTGTCACAAAACATTTTTCTGTAATTCTTCCTGAGGTCTCAAGAATTGTGAGAGGACAGATGCCACTCCTCAATGGCAATAAGCTGTCATGAAACAAGTGATCACTCTACCACGTGGTTGAAAAAGGGTTTGCTGTGATGAGCAAGGACTGGGAGCCCATACTCCCTCCTCATACCCTGCCCCTGACACAAAGAGTGAAACAGAGGGGACATCTACAGTGGGTCCTACCTTTTTCTGGCTTGGCCTATCCCTTCCTGTGCCCAGATTCTTCATCAGCTGACCCACTCAACATGCTACCAGCCAAAAGAATAGAAAAGGTTAGCAGCACAGACATGTGTGGAATGTGTGTGTGTGTGATATGCCTGTGCTAACATAAATGCCTGTACTGAAGATGTAAACTTTGTGAAATAATAGAAAAACATTTCTTCAAAGCATACTCAACAATCGGATAACAACTTCAACCATTAGATGGGTAAAGGTTGTAGTCTGACAACATCCAGGGCTGATGAGAACGTGGAGAGTCAGGCATTGTACCACAGGGCTGGTGGAAGTAAGAATTGCTATAGCCTTTTTTGGAAAGTCATCTGTTGTTATCTATTGAAATTTTAAATGTACATATCTGTTGGCCCAGGATTCCACATTCAGTACTCTAGTCTTCTAAAATGAAAGCATCAATGTGTAAAGATATATGTTCATGGATTTCAAATGCAGCATGACATGTCAGCAAAAGACGGAGGAGAAGAAGAAAGAAAAAAGATGAAAACAGTCTAAACGTCCATCAGTAGGAATTGATTGAATAAATTACGGTGTATCCATTCTACAAATACTGTTCAACTATTCAAAAGACATGATAGTCTGTTAAGTGAAAAAAAGCACATCACACAGTAACATGTATAGTATAATTCCATTGTTTGGTTTAAAAACAGTAAAAACGAACAAACTAAAGCATCTATATATGTGTATATAAATTTGTACATGGAAAAGAAAGGCACAGAAGGGTTCACATCAAATCCTTAATATTGATGATTCCATGGGGGTGATACTGGACATGGGTGAGGGGAAGGCCACAAATTTTCTAAACTATACCTGTGTGATTCAACTTAAATAAATTAGTAAAAAACAGGTTTATACTCTCAGACAACTTGAGAAGATATTTATCAGGAAGCCAGATGCTGCTCCACCCAGAAGACAATCCCGGACAGAATAAAGACACTTTCTCTTGGAGTTTCTCAAAGGGAAATACTCTATAACATTCTTTAAAAGAAGTGATTAGTTTTATTTTCCTCTATTACTCTAATTTCTTAATAATCAAAACCACTAAGTATAAACTGGACACTGAAAACATGGTCAACCGGACCCAGAAACCAGTACTAAGTTTCTCCCAACTGCCAGTCATGCATGGCGGGAATGAGTGGGGGGAAGCCTGCCAGCATTCCACCACCTGCTGGCCCCAGGTCACTAACCCGCAACTATGGAAAACACAGGCCAACGTCCAGACACACTCATTTGCTCCACAGGTATTTTACTCAGCACCTCCCTGTTCCAGACCCGTGCTGGGTGCTCCCTTTAGTACTGCTGACACAGGCATAGAGGACACTGAGCAGATCCTCTTCAGGAAAGTGCCTGACATACTTGAGTGCTGTAACGAGGACTCCCCTTTTGCCTCATCTCCTTGAAGCTAAAGGTCTGTGGTTTGACATGGCTCCGAAGGGTGGGCAGGTGCACTGCGGAGCTCGTCACTGCTCACTGTTCCAACTGCACATCTCTAGGCTTTCCTAACTTCTCCATGTCTGTTTTAAAGAGTGACCCCATCCAAATGCAATTCTCTGATAAGAACACCCTGATTAAAATACCAAATCTGGCTCCACAGTAAGTGTTGCTGATAACAAAACTGAGATTCTTTTTTTACTGTAAAAATGGCAAAAATTTCAAAATGAATTATATTTAATCCTAATCAAGGAGCAAAAATCAGAGATGTTTTTAGACATTGCTCATGAGAACATAAATCACTGCAGTCTTTCTAGAATGCAATTTGGCCAGATAGACCAAGAGCTTCTACCCTTCAGCATAGTAATTCTCTAACAAGGATTTAGCTATGGAAATAAACAGAGATGAGGAGTATATATTTATAACAATATTCACTATAAAATATTAGTAAAAATTATTTGAAACAACCCACAAGTCCAGAAAAAGAAGATTAATCACATAAATTACAGGATATTATGCAGCTACTAAAATTATCCTTTTGAATAATATTTACTGACAAGGGAAATGGCCAGAATACTCAGTTAATTTTAAAACTTGAAGTTACAATTGTATCAACATTATGATCCCAATTTTTAAAAAAATATATATACTTGTACTTGATAAAACATGAGGACATACCACAATATTAACAGTAGTTCTCTGTAGATGATGGAGTCACAAGTTATTTTTTATTCTTTTAAAATTTTCGTATCTTTTCTAAATTTTTCCAGTAAGTAAGTAATATTTTCATATCTAGATAGATATACACATACACATATATTTTAAGAATTGCTGAATATTCAGTCTATCCTCCTACTCACCTAAATTAAGAAAATTTTTTTACTATTCTAGATGGTTTCATAAATAGCTTGTGTGGCTTTTTAAATAATAGCTAGGACCAAAAATCTAAATTCATACACACACACACACACACACACACGCACGCACGCACACACTCACACACACACACAAACACACACGTGGGTGGCAAGGCCAGAAGTTCTCTGGCTGTTCTAAAGCTAAGGCAGAAAACTGCCCGATCGAAGCCATTCACACTCCTGGGTTTGATGCACGCACACACACACACACACGCACACACACACACACACACACACACACACACACACACACACACACACACACACGCACGCACGCACACACTCACACACACACACAAACACACACGTGGGTGGCAAGGCCAGAAGTTCTCTGGCTGTTCTAAAGCTAAGGCAGAAAACTGCCCGATCGAAGCCATTCACACTCCTGGGTTTGAGCCAGCTCTAAGTCATCCAGGCTCTTGGTTGTTTCTACTTATCCCTTCTCTCGTTACTTCTTAGGAAAGTCTCTACCACAGAGAAAGGAAAGGCAGGGAAAGAAGTTGAGACCAAGTTAGTAGTTCAGCTGCATTTTTAGCAGCCCTGATCAAAAGGTATAGAAGGGGCATGGAACTAATGCCTAAAAAGAGATTTAGAGACTCTCTGTGGACTTCAATGATTCATGCCACACCAGTCCCCAGGGAGAACTGGAAGTTATCAGCCTGCTTTAAGAATCAAAGTACACGCAACTATGTGGAAAAGGCCCCTCGCAGGTGACGTCAGATTTCCTCATATGTGTGCGTCTCAGAGTGGGACCCAAAAACCAGTCTTACAAAACAGCTGATCATTTCTTTAAAAAAGAACACTAAATGCCTCAAGTCCTTTCAGGAAGTAATAAAGAATAAGGCCAAATCATAAATAAATTAACAAGAGATGCTCCATTTCTGAAAGAAGGAAGAGTATAAATGCTAAGAGTTCTACCGATAATGGATCCCTAAATACTTTTAACAGATGACCTCAATTGTGGGTGTGTGGGTGTGGGTGTGTGTGTAGGGAAGTGTTTGGGTAGAACTGTATGCATACAAATGAGTGTTTGTGTGTGGGGTGTGTGTACAGGAGCATGTGAGTAGATGTGGGTAGGTGTGTGCAAGGCTGGCCTGGTGGGGAATGGAGTAGGAAGTAAAGGAAGAGAGAGTGGATATAAAACACACCCCTAAATGAACTAAGAGCAATCAATATCTTTTAGACTGCCATAGAAAATCTGATTAAAATAAAGGGAAACTAATATTTAAATGCTACAAACATCACCAATATGATAACATATTCAACTTAGAGAAGTTCCAATGTCTGGCAAAACAAGGGACATCTTCACAATGATCATTTAGAAAATTAAATGTCATCTGGGGGGGAGGGGAGGGGGGTGAAGAACAGGTAAAGGGGCATGAAAATCAAGTACAATGTACTTTGAGAAGTAAAATTTTAAAAAAATAAAAATTTTAAAAATAAATAAAATAAGTAAATAATAAATGTCAATCCATACTATCCCTAGCCCCACTCAGCTGAACTTCCAGAAGACCTTCAATCCATGCCTGATCCATTCCAAAGTCTGATAATGTATCTGGAGCCCCATCCCTACCAATAAGAGGATCTGGAGTGTGAGCACCACTGCCCTCAGAGGTCTGAACTCCTGATCATGCACATGAATGTGCACATGCACATGCACGCGCACACACACACACACACACACACACACTCACACACACACTGAGCTGCAGGCTTCACCAACCTTCCCACCCACATACCACTCATGTGCCTCAGTTCCTTGTATGATTCTGCCTTGCTTGCTTCCATCCATCCACCCATTCACGCATTCATCCATCCATCCAACTTTTATTAAGAACTTTCCACTAGTGATCTCATCTACACCCACAGCCTGCTCAGACAAGCATAAACACTTCAATTAACTCTTGTAAATCCCCTTCCCCAAACCTAAATATTGAACTTTGATCCCTACATCCTTAGCCCCCAGGTACTTGCTTAGATACTGCTTTAAGTTGAAGACGACTTCAAACAGTTCCCATCCACTTCTGCAGGAGAAGCCTCTCCCAGAGAACCAGCTGCTGTGTATATCCCACCACCCCCTCCACTCC